CCCCCCCAACCACCCAAAGCCCAAGAAACTTGTTGACACCCATCATGTGAGCAGGGTGTTTGCAAATGGGGGGGGGGCGCCCGCCCCCTTTAACCCCCCCCCGCTTCTTTTAAGCCGTACCAAGCGTGCTTCAAAGCCCGAGAAACTAATTGAAAAAAAGTATGAATCCGATGAATATATAGAGGGAATGATAGAAACCAAGAAAACGAACCAAATAGGGTTTTCCATAGGACAAACTAAGGAAAAGCAACGTACGCTTTGACGTTTGACGAAATCCGTCCAAAATGTAATCAGAAGAGGGTTTCCTTAGGAAAAACCAACGAAAACCTCGTTTTTTTTCAAACCGTGCAGAGCGTGCTTCAAAGCCCAAGAAACTTGTTGACACCCGTCATGTGAGCAGGGTGTTTGCAAATGGGGGAGCGGGGCTGTGTTTTCCCCCAACCCCCCCCGCTTCTTTTAAGTCGTACCAAGCTTGCTTCAAAGCCCAAGAAACTAGTTGAAAAGCATCGTGTGAGACCCCCCCCAACCCCCCCGCTCTTTTTTTTTGGAAGCCGCGCAGAGCGTGCTTCAAAGCCCAAGAGGTGTTTGCAAGTGGGGGGGCTGCGCCCCCCCCCCCAACCCCCCCCGCTTCTTTTAAGCCGTACCAAGCGTGCTTCAAAGCCCAAGAAACGAAGGAAATGACAGGATATCTGTCCAAAATGTAAGGAAAATAGGGTTTTCCCCCTAGGAAAAACCAAGGAAAACCTAAGGGAAATTACAGGAAATCCGTCCAAAATGTAAAAAAAAAAAACATAGGTTTTTCCCTATGAAAAACCAACGAAAACCTAAGGGAAATGACAGAAAATCCGTCCAAAATGTAAGGAAAGTAGGTTTTCCTAGAGAAAACCAAGAAAATCGACCAAGAAAAAAAAAGAAAGGCCCAAAAAAAAAAAAGACCCAAAAAAAAACTCCACCCCCTATAAACCCTAAACCCTAAACCCTAAACCCTAAACCCTAAACCCTAAACCCTAAACCCTAAACCCTAAACCCTAAACCCTAAACCCTAAACCCTAAACCCGGGTTCAGGGTGTAGGGCTTCTGAAAGCTTAGGGGTTTAGGGGGGTTCGGGTTTAGGGATCGGGGCTCAGAGTTTAGAGATCAGGGCTTCAGTTAACACTCAGCCAGGTGCCAAGTTTTTGGGATGCTGCGATGACTGCCACCAGCCCTCTGGGCCTTGAGTCCCCAACCCTGTACCCAACAACCTGAAGCCAGGTTTAGGGTTTAGGGTTTAGGGTTTAGGGTTTAGGGTTTAGGGTTTAGGGTTTAGGGTTTAGGGTTTAGCCCGCCAACATTTTTCCAACCTCAGCTGTCATGGTCCAACGGTTCACGACCCGGTGCAGCGTTTTTTTTTGACATCGAAGTCCAACACTCTAGCGCCCTAAGCTCTGAACCCTAGAAGCCTGTAACCCTTAGTCCTAGAAGTCTACAACCCCCTTAACCCTTAACCCTTAACCCTAAACCCTAAACCCTAAACCCTAAACCCTAAGCCCTAAATGACCCCACAGGCCCTGAGCGCACCCTTCTATCGCAGGAGTCAGTCCTCGGCCCGGGTACGGCGCCTGCAGGCCCCGGTTGGGGGTATTTAGGGTTTAGGGTTTTAAGGTTTTGCGGCTTAGGGTTTTTAGGGATTAGGGTTTGAGGTTTTGCGGGTCAGGGTTTTAGGGTTTAGGGTTCTAAGGTTTTTCGGTTTAGGGGTTTAGGGTTTAGGGGTTTAGGATTCTTCAGGGGGCGATGGCTTGACAGGGGCTGGCGCAGACTGGGCAGGGCTGCGGGATGCAGTCAGAGTTCGTTTTGTTTTACTAGTGTTACTGTTATATTGTATTGCATTTAATTAGTTTTAGTTAATTTTTTCGGGCGGGGGGGGGGGGGGTTGGGGGGGGGGGGGCTTTAGGGCTTAGGGTTTAGGTTTTAAGGTGTGAGGGTGTTTAGGGTTTGGGGTTTGAGGGGGGGGGGGGGGAGGGGGGGGGGGGGGGGGGGGGGGGGCATTTTGAGGGTGTCAGGCCTTCGGTTCCTTTGCGTAAACCGTGGCGCTTTGAGTATGAGCTTAAAGCCCTAGGTACCTCAAAACCCCAAACTCCAAACCCTCGAAACCTAAACTCTATGCCCCCGGTTCCTATGCAGAGGCCACACCTGGTTCATCAATGGTCGAGACAGCAAGGCCTGCGCATTGGTGGTGTCTTAGGGCTTGGGCTTCAAAGTTCAACGTCTCAGGGTTTGGGGCTTAAGGATGTCGGGTTCAGGGTTGTGAGGGTTTAGGGTTCAGGGTTCGAGGACCCAGAGTAGGCCCTTACTCCTTGGTTTTTAGGCTGTAGGTTCCCCTATGAAACCAGAAAAAGGCACCCTTCTCATTCCTAGGTTATGTAGGGTTTAGGGTTTAGGGTTAGGGTTTAGGGTTTAGGGGTTAGGGTCTAGGGTTTAGGGTTTAGGGTTTAGGGTTTAGGGCTGCCGTCTCTGAAAAAACCAGCAACTGGCATGTCAGGGCCCAGGAGCATGGCCTTCGGCCTTGCCCCTGCCCCTGAAAACCCTAAACCCTACAACCCTAAACCCTGAACCCTGAACCCTGAACCCTGAACCCTAAACCCTAAACCCTAAACCCTAGACCCTAAACCCTAAACCCTAAACCCTAAACCCTAAATAAACCCTAAACTCCAAGCCCAAACCCTAAACCCTAAACCCTACACGCGAATCCGTGGATCCCAGCCCAGGTGCGACCGGGCACCATCTATCGCATCATGCTGAGATACGACGAAGAGCAGCGCCGGAAGAGGTTCGCACACTAAGCCCTAAGCCCTAAGCCCTAAGCCCTAAGCCCTAAGCCCTAAGCCCTAAGCCCTAAGCCCTAAGCCCTAAGCCCTAAGCCCTAAGCCCTAAACCCTAAACCCTAAACCCTGGACCCTTGTTTAGGGTTTAGGGGCTGGAGCCCCAATTTAACCTTTAGAGTTTAGACCGGAACCACAAGTATTCAGGTGTCTTGGCCCTTAATTCTCAATAAGGGAAGGGGGGGTGGGGGCGTGACTCAGGGCTTACAGCCCGAGGCACCCTACCAGCACTGCTGCAGCCAAACGTTGGGCGCTTTAGGGTTTTCGGGTCTAGCGTCTAGACGGTAAACCCTATAAACTCTGGAGCCCCAAACCTAGGGGAGATGCGAGCGTTAAGGCTCTGCTTCGGGTTGGGCGCCTGACTGCGCGCAAGCCCCCCAACCCCGAAATTGGTTTAGCAATGTTGAGTCCCTAAACCCTAAACCCTAAACCCTAAACCCTAAACCCTAAACCCTAAACCCTAAACCCTAAACCCTAAACCCTAAACCCTAAACCCTAAACCCTAAAACCTAAACACTAAACCCTAAACCCTAAACCCTAAACCCTAAACCCTAAACCCTAAACCCTAAACCCTAAACCCTAAACCCTAAACCCTAAACCCTAAACCCTAAACCCTAAACCCTAAACCCTAAACCCTAAACCCTAAACCCTACACCCTAAACCCTAAACGCTAAACCCTTAAGTACAGAAGCCGCAAAAGCCATGCCTTGGCTTCCTTTCAGGGTTTAGGGTTTAGGGTTTGGGGTATGTTTTAAGATCCTTCCAGAAGAGGTTCAGTGATCCTCACTAGGATGTTCATCAGGGTTTCGTTGTTTGGGGCAGTGGGGTTCTCAACTCCTTATATGATGGACCCAACTTAGGGGGGGGTTCAACCATAGAGCCCCTCAAGCAGTCTGCGGTTTAGGGTTTAGGGTCTGGTTTGGGGTTGAGGGCTTAGGGTTCAGGGTACGAATTTGAGAACTGCACGTAGCCTGCAGCCTTGCAGCTGATTTAAGGCTTAAGGGTTTAGGGAAATTATGAACTAGGGTTTAGGGTTTAGGCCTTCAGGGTTTAGTACGAGGCTTTACAGGTTTGAGGAACTGTATTCCCCTGTATAGCTTGAGGATGCGGCAGTATCTGTTCCAAACCGTGAGCCCTAAACCCTAGCGCTAAGCGCTAAACCCTAAACCCCAAAACCCAAAACCCTAAACCCTAAACCCTAAACCGTAAACCCTAAAACATATTCTTTAAAGGGACATTGGGCTCCCTGAGCTGGCACTTTCCGTGCTGGAGCCGCGCGGCGCGCGCCATGGCAGCCTCGGAGGCAAAGCGCCGCCGGCAGGAGGAGGGCCCCATCGAGCGGCAGATGCGCCAGGTTGGGGGTTTAGGGTTTAGGGTTTAGGGTTTAGCGTTTAGGGTTTAGGGTTTAGGGTTTAGGGTTAGGGTTCAGGGTTCAGGGTTTAGGGGCAGATGCGCCAGGTGGGGGGCTTTAGGGTTTCAGGGGTTGAGGGTTTTTGGGCTTTCACAAAGGGGTTAGGTTTGGGGTTTTAGGGGTTCAGGGGTTTGGGATTTAGGGGTTTAGTTTAGTGTTTAGGGTTGCGTTTTGGAAGATTGGGGTTGAGGGTTTTCGGGGTTTAGGGCTTTAGGGGTTTTAGGGTTTTGGGTGGTTGTTAGTGTAAGGGTTTAGGGTTTCGAGGTTTGGGGTTTAGGGTGTTAGGGTTTGAGGGGTTTGGGGTTTAGGGGTTCAGGATTTGGGGGTTATAGGGTTGAGGGTTTGGGTCTAATTTTCAGGCAGGAATTCGCTTTGCAAGAGTTCATGTTAGAAGGTGGAGGGTAGGATGCTTGTCTTATGGATACGGGGTGGGCCGAAGAACTTTGTGTGGACAACCCTCAACCCTACCATGGGCATTCCTTAAGCGGACATTCCTTAAAATAAGGGTGGCTTAGGGTTTACGGTTGCTCCTTGTACACCCCCAACATTCGATCTTCCTCACGAAGTAGGTCCACCCTAGCCCCATGCTTTCAGCCCCAAACCGAACTCATAGGTTCCCCTGCTACCGCCCCTCCATACTACCCCCCCCCCCCCCCCCCCGAGTTTTAACTAGGGCTTAATTATGGGGGAACCTGGGGGGGGGGGGTCAGAATAGAGGGGGCTCCTCTCAGGTTGTGCGGTTCCTGGCGGACGATGCGCTCAAGGGGCGGCAGCCGGGCACGGCTGGCGAGGAGGCGGCGGCCGCCTTCGTGGCCAGCAAGCTGGAGGAGTGAGGGCCCTAAACCCTAAACCCTAAACCCTAAACCCTAAACCCTAAACCCTAAACCCTAAACCCTAAACCCTAAACCCTAAACCCTAAACCCTAAACCCTAAACCCTAAACCCTAAACCCTAAACCCTGAACCCTGAACCCTAAACCCTGAACCCTGAACCCTGACCCCTGAACCCTAAACCCGAAACCCTAAACCCTACTCCAGGCTTAGCCTGCCCCCCTACAGTACGATGGGGCAAGCCGACCCAGGTCGTTTGTATTCCGCGTTGAGGAAATTTGGGGTTCAGGCCAGGGTCGCCGCAGCGCAGTGATAGAACCTGATCAGACCCACCTGGGACCCTGATCTGAATCTTTTAGTTTAGGCTCCTGAGGTCAGGAAGAACCTGCAAAGAAAATGAGGTTTAGGCCTAAACTCGAGAGAATGGAAAGACTCAGATGGCCGTGCCGTCTTAGACGGCGCGGTTTGGGAGAAAAGTCTTCGATGGCCTTCCACGACCGGGCCAGAGAGCTACTCTTCGCAGCTGACGAAGCTGTCGGGCCCCTTGCGCATCCTGACCTTCACAGCATCTTGAGCAAACCCTTCCCCCTAAACCCTCTTCCTTAGTCCCTAAACCCGAAACCCCTGTCTTGGGTTTTTTTTGGGTCCAGGTGTTAGGGTTGGTTTAGCGTTTGGGAGATAGGATCCCTTGAATGTCAGAGGGGGCACCCTTGTTTTATTCTTAGGTCAACCCGAGTTTACTGAGTTTAGGGTTTAGGGTTTAGGGTTTAGGGTCCAGGGTCCAGGGTCTAGGGTTTAGGGTTTAGGGGCCCAACATGCTGGACGATGAGAGGAGCTGGGCTGCGAGCCTGCCGGGGAGGACGGAGACCCCAATATCCCTGGTTAAGGTTTGGGGGTTAGGGTCTAGGGCTTAGGGTGCTGTACCCTGTATAGGAACCCCCAAAACCCCAAAACCCAAAAGCCCCTAAACCCTAAACCCTGAACCCTGAACCCTGAACCCTAAACCCTAAACTTAAACCCTAAACATCTCGGAGTCTTTGGGAGGACGGCAGCTACTTCCAAACGGTCCGCATGGTGGGGCTGACGGCCATCCGGAGCACTTCCAAGTTGGGATTCGAGGCCAGGCCCGGTTTAGGGTTTGGGGTTTAGGGTTTAAGGATTAGAGTTGAGAGTTTAGAGTTTAGGGGTTTAGGGCGTCCCCAACCCTACCTCAGACCCCCCGAATCTGACCCTGAACCCCAAACCCTAAACCCTAAGGTAGGGCCTGAGGTGCAGGACTTCCAGCTGACCGGCCGATTTGGGGAGGACTACGTCCACTCCATGGACCACCTCCCAGACCTGGCTCAAGAGCCGGAAGCTAGGACCAAACCCTTTCCCTTCAACCCTACACCCTAAACCCTAAACCCTGAACCCTAAGCCCCAAACCCTCCTTTTCAGGTTTAGGGATTAGGGCTTCCTTTCTCCCTTTTTAGGGTTTGGGGTTTCTTAAAAGCCCGATCGCGCGAAAATTCAGGGTTCCCTGTTTTTCATTCTTAATTCGGGGGGAGCCCAGGAATGTGCCTTCGAGGGCCTGGACTTGGTCTTTGTCGGCCACGGGGTAGCAGCGCCAGGGCTCGACTGGGACGACTTCAAGGGCCAGGACATGACATCGAAAGTCTTACTGGTGCTGATCAGCCAGCCGCCTGTGGAGCCCTTTCCCCAAGACGACCTGACCTACTACGCCAGGTGGACCTACAAGTTTGAAGAGGCGCGCCGGCGAGGCGCAGCGGGCTGCCTGATCGTTCACTTCAGCGACGAGTTCGCCGGCTACCCTTGGAGCGTGACCCGCACCGGCTACAGCGGGGAGAAGGTGGCCTTGGAGAAGCCGCAGGTGAATCCACTGGCCATCCATGGCTGGCTTGAGAGGGGTCTCGCTTCCAAACTCGCCGAGGCCGCCGGCACCACGCTGGACGCTTGGGTGAAGCAAGCGCAGCAGCGGGACTTCCGGCCTGTGGTGGTGGGCCGCGTGTCGCATTCTGTGCAGTACCAGAAGCGGTGCTTCTCGGGCCGCAATGTCCTGGGCCTCCTCCCTGGGGAGGAGCCGCACCAGCACGAGGCAGTGGTCATCGCTGGGCATCACGACCACCTGGGCGAGCGCGAGGGCGAGATCTACAATGGAGCCGTGGACAACTGCACGGGGGTGGCGATGATGCTGGCCACGGCGCGGAGGCTGATCGAGTCGGGCGTCCGCCTCAAGAGGTCTGTGTTGCTAATGGCCCCCACAGCCGAGGAGTGTGGTCTTCTGGGCTCAGACTACTACGCCGACGAGCCCCTGATGATTGGCACCCGTCAGGCCAAGCCCATTGCTGCTTTTGCTTTCGACGTCGGAAATGTGTGGGGTCGTACCAGAGACCTCTCCGTGCTGGGTTTGGGCAGGAGCACCCTGGATCCGTTGTTACAGGAGGTGGCTGCGTCGCAAGAGCTCACACTGGTCCCTGACCTCCAGCCCAAGATGGGACTTTTCTACCGGAGTGACCACTGGAGTTTCGTGCGACGGGGAGTTCCTGGGTGCTGGTTCTTCTTTGGCCGCGACTTCATCGGAAAGCCCAGCACCTACTACGACGAGGTTGTGGGCAGGTATATCCAATCCGAATATCACAAGCCGGCCGATGTCTATCATCCGGAGTGGACCATGGAGGGTCTTCTCTCCCAGGTAAACTTCACCGTGGGCGTCGCCCAAGCGCTGGGCGCTCGCACGGACTTCTACCCCGCAATGAAGCCTGAGACGGCATCTCGGTCCCCGTTGGGCACTGCGTGCACTGACAGCCTGAATCCTGAACTCTGAGCTTCAATGTTTGTGGCACCTCGACCCTCAACCCCCCCCCCCCCGAAACCCAGAACCGCTCCAAAATTTCAAGCCTGATTACGTAGAAGGCGAGCAAACTCTCCCCCAGAAGCCTGCACGCCTCCTGGCGCCCTCAGCTGAGGCCTCTCCGGGTCCCCTAAACCCTAAACCCTAAACCCTAAACCCTAGGTTTGAACCCTAAACCCTAAACCCTAAACCCTAAACCCTAAACCCTAAACCCTAAACCCTAGTACCTCCTTACGCCCTCAGCTGAGGCCTCTCCGGGTCCCCAGGTCCCGGAAGTCCCGGAGGCCCCTGCCAGCTTCGCCTGGAGGCGGCGGCCGGGCAAGCGCGGGGTGAGCTTTGGGCTGCGGCATCTTGGCTCTGCTGCTGGGTTTAGGGTTTAGGGTTTAGGGTTTAGGGTTTAGGGATGTCACTATTGATCGGATGTTTGCCGCGTGCGGTTGAGGGAGTTTCGGGTTGCTGGCTGTATGGAATTCGGTGGCTTCGACTTACGATGGGCTGAAGATCGACGCACTTCTGGGTGTTTGTGGGGGTTTCGGGTTTCAGGCCTGGGGTGGTTGTTTATTATTTAGGGTTTAGGGTTTAGGGATTAGGGTTTAGGGCTTAGGGCTTAGGGTTTAACGTTTTAGGGTTTAGGGTGTGAGGGTGTTAGGGTGTATGGGTGTATGGGTGTTTGGGTGTATGCCACCGAGGTGTTTTGATTGCAAGATCGAGGGCTGCGTCTGCTTCCTCTGATCGCGACAAACGGGAGCTGCAAGAGATGGCGAACTCCTCCGGTTTAGGTTTAGGGTTTAGGGGTTAGTTTAGGGGTCAGGGTTTAGGGTTAGGGTTTAGGGTTTAGAGTTTAGGGTTTAGGCCAAAACCCTAGAGCCTAGTCCCCTAGTGAAATCCTCCCCCAGCCCCCCGCGCACCCATCAGCTCAAAACAGTCGATTTCAATATGTCAACCTTGGAAGCCCCAAATCCCCGCTCCTCCTCCCACCCCAACCCCCCCAAATTGTTTACGTAAACCGTAAACCTTAAGACCCGAGGTTTAAGTCTCCGAAACCAAACTCTAAACCCTAACAACCCTTAACAACCCTTAACGGCCTTTCGGGGTATTTCAGGTTTTCCCTCCTTGGCGTTAAGACTTTAAGAGGATCGGCATTGAGAACAGGTACGGACTCCATCACCTCCAAACCCCAAGCCTGATGCTCGTAGGGCCGTAGGGTTTAGGGTTTAGGGTTTAGGGTTTAGGGTTTAGACCCAAAGCCCCAGCACAAAAAGTTCGGCGCAGGGTTACCTGGGAGCCAGTGGAGTCGTCCGATCTGGCCATCAAGGCGGGTTGCATTGTGGGCTTAGGGTTCGATCAAGGTTTAGGGTTTCGTTCTGATGCTTTAGGGCTTAGGGCTTTAGGGTTTAGGGTTTAGGGTTTAGGGTTTAGGGCTTTGGGGTTGAAGCCGGTCATATTCAGGTTGGGGGTTTAGGGTCTCGGGCCGTGGGGTTCTTGGGTCTCTTTTGGCTTTCAGGCTTTTGGGGCTTTAGGGTATGTTCGGGTCAGCCCTGAACCCTAAACCCGAAACCCGAACCCTAAACCCTGAACCCTACACCCGAAACCCTAAACCCTACACCCTAAACCCTAAACCCTAAACATTAGACCCTAAACCTAAACCCTGGCGGTTTCAGACCGAAGGCCTTCCGTTGCGTCCCAGCCCGCTGGCCAGATGTTGCCGTTGCCAAGCTAGAAGAGGTGTCCTTAGGGTTTAGAGTTTCGGGGATTAACTTTTAGGGTTTAACTGGTTCTGGGTCCGGGTTGGGGGCTTAAGGGTTTGGACTTTTAGGTTTAGCATCGCGCAGAAGCCCGGCATGTCAAGAGGGAAGGTGAAGAAACGGCCCTCAGCCCTAATCCATGAACCCTAAACCCTAAACCCTAAACAGAACCCACCCCCTGAAGGTCGTCCGCCATAGCTACTACATCTCCGCGTCCTGGACCGCCTACAAGCCGGGAAGCCCAGTCCCCAACCCCTCCGCCTCTCCCAACCGTGGGGTCAGGCGTTTAGGATTTAGGGTTTAGGGTTAGGGTTAGGGTTTAGGGTTTAGGGTGTAGGGTTTAGGGTTTAGGGTTTAGGGTTTGGGGTTTAGGGTTTAGGGTTTAGGGTTCGGGAGGCTCCAAGGGCTCCAGTGTGGACCCGTGAAAAGGCAACGCGCACCAGATTTGTTAGGGTTTAGGGTTTCTTGTTTAGGGTTTAGGGTTTAGGGTTTAGGGTTTAGTGTTTAGGGCTTCGGGATTAGTTTAGGGTATGATTAATGGTCACCTAGCTTTGCAACTGAGAAGCACACTTTAACATCGTGCAGAACGGGGGGGTTGCAACCTTGGCAAGGTTTCAAGCGGGGGGGGGGGGGGGGGGTGTCCTGGAAATCCCGACGCCTTAGTTCGACTCTACACCCGCTCTATTCCTGGAGTACTTTTGTTGTGGGCATGAGTGCCTCTAAGAGAGCCTAAACCTTAATCTAACCCCAAACCCCAAACCCCAAACCCCAAACCCCAAACCCTAAACCCTCGACCCTCAACCCCCAACCCTCAACCCTAAACCCTCAACCCTAAACCCTCAACCCTCAACCCTCAACCCTCAACCCTAAACCCTAAACCCTAAACCCTAAGGATGGCGGAGCGTCTTTTTGGGTGCATGTTCAGGTCTGGGAGCCGGGTCTGAGCAATAGGGTTGAGGGATTGGAGGGTCCCCAACCCCGAACTCTGAATGGAGGGTAAGGGGTTTAGGGTTTAGGGTCTAGGGTTTAGGGTTTAGGGTTTAAAGTTTAGGGTCTAGGGTCTAGGGTTTAGGGTTTGGCGTTTGGGGTTCAGGGGTTTTGGGTTTGTGAAGAGATATAAGGAGGGACCTTTAGAAGGGACCCTGAATCTTACTCCCCATATAACCTTACATACACCCCATGCAACCCCTGCATTACCCCTAAGGTCCCTTATAAGGGTCCCTCCTTTAGCCCCCTGTGGGTCTAGCCACTGCGACTCGTTCGGGAGGCCGTTCGAGATGATCTGCCTTCGCCGCGGCGAGCTCTACGAGACCACGGTGAGGACCCGGGTTTAGGGTTTAGGGTTGGGGTATAGGGTTTAGGGTTTAGGGTTTAGGGTTTAGGGTTTAGGGTTTAGGGTTTAGGGTTTAGGGTTTAGGGCTTAGGGTTTAGGGTTTAGGGTTTAGGGTCTGCAGGTTTGACGAGGAGGCCGAGTGGACCCGGGGGTTGGGATTTGGGGGTGTTGACACGGTGTTGAGGTTAGGGTTTAGGTTTAGGTTTAAGGTTTAAGGTTTAGGGTTTAGGGTTTCGGGTTTCGGGTTTCGGGTTTTTGGGGTTTAGGGTTTAGGGCCTTTGGGGATGCTTTGTGGCAGAAGATTGGCTTGCCCCAACAACTCCCCCTCGCCCCCCCCCCCCCCCGAAGCCTTTGAACCCTAAACCCTAAACCTCAAACCCTAAACCCTAAACCCTAAACCCTAAACCCTAAACCCTAAACCCTAAACCCTAAACCCTAAACCCTAAACCCTAAACCCTAAATAAACCCTAAACCCGAACCCTAGTCTCCGATCCCCAAGTTGCAGGATAGGCATCCATGGCATCGAAGAGTTCCAGATCATGCGCGACGCAGACGTCTTGCAGGTGCTGGGATGCTAAACCCTAAGCCCTAAGCCCCACACCCTAAACCCTAAACCCTAAACACCAAACCCTAAACCCTAAGCCCTAAACCCTAAGCCCTACAGCCCAAACCCTCAACCCCAGACCGTAAACCCTACACCCTAATTACAACCTACGCCCCAAAACCCAAAGCCAACTCGAGGGGGCCCACCTGAGTCCTAAGATTCTTCGCTGAGCTGCAGCTTCAGGAGCGGGGCCCAACCGACAAGGGATCCTAGGTGAACCCCTCACCCCAAGGCTGCCTGGATCCTCAAGAGCTTCAGAGTTTTGGGAAAGGTTTCGGGCTTAGGGTTTGGGGTTTTACCCGGGGTTTTGGGTTTTGGAGTTTGGGGTTGTGGGTTTGTGGTTTGGGGCTTCAATCCTAAACCCAAAACCCTTCGATTTTGGGCTTGTTCTCAATGAAAGGCCGCCTCGATGCAAAAGGCGTAGGGTTTAGGGTTTAGGGTTTAGGGTTTAGGGTTCAGGGTTTAGGGTTTAGGGTTTAGGGTTTAGGGAGCCGAAATACTTACCCATAGATGCTCCCCGTGTAATCCAAAGGCCTCCCTTTTTGATACTTCTCAGAGAGTTTAGGAAAATAGGGGACCCCTAATATAGACACCAAATAGTCGGAATCCCCTATAATATGGACCCCATAATAAGATACCCACAAATTTCGGAAACCCCCCTGAACCCTAAACCCTAAACCCTAAACCCGAAACCCTAAACCCTAAACACTAAACCCGCGGGGTTATTCTGGCATAAGTACAAAGGGACCATAAGGGAATATGATTTGTAATTCTTCCGACCCCTTTCTGAAGGAGTGTTGCAATCATCACCTCCCGAAGGCTTTGAGGCCCTGAAGGCGGTGCATACAAGAAGCTTAGGGTTTAGGGTTCAGGGTTCAGGAATGAGGGTGCAGGGTTCAGGTTTTAGGGAATCAAGGAGGGCAATTCGAGTCATAGCCCTAAAACAAACCCCAAACTCCAAACCCTAACACCCTAACACCCTAACTAACACCCTAACACCCTAGACACTAAACTCTAAACCCTAAACCCTAAACCCTAAACCCTAAACCCTAAACCCTAAACCCTAAACCCTAAACCCTAAACCCTAAACCCTAAACCCTAAACCCCCTTAACCCTAAACCCCCTTAACCCTAAACTCCCCTAAACCCTAAACCCTAAACCCTAAACCCTAAACCCTAAACCCTAAACCCTAAACCCTAAACCCTAAACCCTAAACCCTAAACCCTAAACCCTAAACCCTCACAAGTACTGATGAAACTCCCGGTCGCTCCTGCCAGGTCATCCACCCTGCAGCCAAGGGTGGTGGGGCAGCCCTTGGGCTGAAGGAAAGCAGGGTTTAGGTTTAGGGTTTAGGGTTTAGGGTTTAGGGTTTAGGGTTTAGGGTTTAGGGTTTAGGGTTTAGGGTTTAGGGTTTAGGGTTTAGGGTTTAGGGTTTAGGGTTTAGGGTTGAGGGCTTACCATGGAGGAGCCTAAACTAGGTAGGCCCTTGGACAATTTTCTATTGTCCCTATTCAGTTTTAGAGGACCATACGCAGGAATGAGTTATTTTTAGAGGGTTTTAAGGACAACCTTTGCAAGTTCCTCTTGTGCTCCCTTCTGGTTCATTTGGCAATAATACCCCCCCCCCCCCCCCCCCCAGAATCCCTATGCACATGATAGCCTAG